CGTCCAATAGTTTTCTTGCTGAGTCTTTAGGGTTTTCTAAGTATACTATCATGTCATCAGCATAGAGGGATAATTTTACCTCCTCGTTGCCTATTTATGTGCAGCTTTTGATTTACAGCTGAAGGGTGAGTGGTACACTGGAGGCTTCACTCACTGTATCTCATGGTGACCAGAACAGCACACTTTCTGGTTGGAAGTCTGATGCATTACATATTATAGTACTATTGTTGTTATGTGCTGTCGAGTCAAGTATGACTCATAGTGACCCTATAAACAGCCAACTTGAACCAGCCCTATCTTTTGCCATCCTCATCATCTCTGAGCCCACTATAGTCCACTGCTGAAGTCACAGTGTTAATCCATCTTGTTGGGGGATGGGAAGGGGCTTCCTTTCCTTTGCTGACCCTCCATCTTTTTAAGCATGATGTCCTTTACAGGAATAGCCTCACCTAGCTACATGTCCAAAGAACAAAAGATGAAGCTTTGCCATCCTTGCCTTCAAGGAACACACTGGCCACACCATTTCCAAGACACATCTATTTGTTCTTTTGGCAGTCCATGGGATGTTCAGTACTCTTCTCCAGCACCACAACTCAAGGGCATCAATTATTTTTCTGTCATCCTTTTTCACTGTCCAGCTCTCTGATGCATAGCAGATGATGAGAAGACCAGGCCTGGATCAAACTCACCTTTGTCTGCAGTCTGACATCAATGCTTCTCAGCACTCTGAAGAGTCCCTGACAGGAGATTTAACAAATGCAATTCATTTTTTGATTTCCTGATTGCTGGTGCCAAGAGTGTTGATTATGGAGCCAAGCGAGCTGTAACGGTAAACAATCCAATTTCTTCTCCAAACCATCTTGGTGCTGCCAATCGGCCCAGTGGTGAGGCAGCACTTGTTGTTGTTGTTATGTGCCGTCAAGTCGTTTGCGACTCATAGCAACCCCATGTACAACAGCCCTAAACCGTGCTCTATCCTGTGCCAATCTCATTGCCTCTGACACACCCATCCCGAGT